TTATCACGAAGTGTAGGACAATTTAAAAGTTTCCGTAACGCCTTTTCACCTTTTGGGGCTAGGCTGTATTTAGGTCCTGACCGTAGCTGATGTAAGCGATTTGAGTGGTATGCTTGATCGCTTCTTAATCTAAAACACTTTTCAATTTGACTCATGTTTTGCTTAAACGCCCATAATATCATTCTAAATGATATAAACGTACTTGTTCTCTCAAAAGTAAAATCACAGTTTTGTTTACTTACTGGGTAAAGCAAAGACTGAACGATATTCCAGGATTTCACCCTTTTTTGCAACGGGATTTTTTTTCGTTTCTGTTCGGATTTTCTTCATAAAGCGAAAAAGATGCAAATGTAGGCCTTTCGTTAAAAACGAAGTATTGAAAAATGAACCTTTGTAAAGCGGAAAACAGATATATTTCTTGTATAAGGCTTTCACGTATAAAGTTCGTAACTATATATGTTTGTAAGGTTTTCTTACATGCAAGTCCTTTTTTCCCACTTATGAAAGAGCTTCATAAATTGTCATATGAATATCTCATGTATTCAGACCAGTACGGTACACAATTCCAATAGTTACTGCTCTAATTCGTAATATTATGTATTATTTCACCCGTAACTACTAACTTGCTACTTTTTAAAAAAACGCACTCACGGTCGTGGGATAAAATAATTAACACTAGTAGCTCGACCAGGGTTCAAACCCCGCCGAATGAGTTGATTGCATGGCAATCAATTGCAATTTTCGTGGTTAACCTACGCATAATGTAAACAAAAGCCAGTTTCGTTTAGAAAATCCCCCGCGAGGCTTTCCTATCCTTAGGCAGATAGCCTCGTGTGCATTGTCATTATCTAAGTAATCTAAACGTAACGTTTAATAAATATTCTGCAGTAAATCCTTTGTCTTACTGTTAAAGTTAATCCTTTGTCTACTGTTAAAGTAGAACATATCCGAACAAGAGTAGAATATAGAGTTACAAATGCATTCAAATCATTCATTTCCTTTTTTTTCTGAGAAATGTTATTTATTTAAAGAAAGACTGCTTATGGAAATTTATAACCTTTCAGCTTCTGTACTACTAGCTTCTGTACTTCTGCGGAAGCATGGTCCCTCTAATAAAAAAATTTGAAAGTTTCATTAAAGAAATTGTATGAGCTCTGTTTTATCTATTTAGAAAATGAAGTGACGAGCTAGTTTCTTTTGAAATGTTTAAAATTGAGTATTGTTTTATGGTTAAATTTTTACCTAAAGAACGTCTTAGTCAAAAAAAAAAAAAAAAAAAAAATGAATGAATGAAAGAAAGAAACAGCTGTTGAATCATGTGAGTAGTGATTCGTCTCCTTTCTATTCTTCAGCGAAATAACGGTAAAACAATTTTTGTATATGCCATGAATAGTCGTAAATTTCGACCAGAAAATATTACTCGTGTCCAGAAGAAAATAGAGATTAGAAGTCAAGGAAAGTAGGATGTGTCTGAAACAACTTTTTTGTGCAGTCGACATGAATACCTTCACATGAATAAATATATTTGCAAGCTGTATGCCTGTACATTTTTCAGAAAATCAAAAACAGCAACATATTAGAGCAATTTAAGAACAGCAATATAGGAGTAAGGAGCTTCACCAGCCCCCTTGCAGCCCAGATTTAGCTCCAAGTAAATTTGTTTATCCTCCTCACTGAGTTATGACCTTCATGGAAAGAAATTTAATAATGATGATAGCGTTAAAAGAACAATTATGAAGCATTTTAAGAATAAACTTTCAGATTTAGCTCCCGAGTGCTTTCCTATAATCTAAGTAACTTTAATCCTGAAGGATTTACCCAACTCTACTAATTTAAAAGTTTTCAAAGGAAGAAAAAATTGGTGGTTTTCAAAACAAATATATAAGTTTCTGGTCCTTCCCGTCTTTCCCCCCCCCCAAAAAATGATGGTAAAACATCTTCTGAAGAAGGCTTCTTCAAAAGAAGCTGAAGCATTGTCTTAACCCAAGCTGAAGAAAATATTCAGCTTTTTTCTTACTATAAATGCTGTATGGATCCCTAAAGCATTAAATGTTTTATCGGAGAACTAATGGAAAAGTAAAATGGAACAAAAAGGAGATATTAGAAACAACACCAGTATTAAGAAAGAAAAAGACACGGCCCTCTCGTCAGTCCTTTAACTGTCTTTCAGCGGCTGGCGTGACTAACTCCATTTCGCACCCGAGCAAACTTTTTGTGTTCCAATTGTTCTACCTCTAGCTGTTTCCGTAGCATGTTCAGTTAACTGTGGCACGAATGTCGTCCTAATGTAACTCATCCGCGGAAATAACAGAAAACCTTTTTCATCTGTCGAACTTTTGGAGATTGTTGTTGACTTAAAAAGAGGAAGTTAATGGTCAATGGACAGATAAATTTTCCATTATATCAACTTACTGTTTTATATCTTCTTAACTATTAAATGCGTACAGTTAAAAAGAGATTTTCGTTGAGGTTTCTGCATTCAGGAACTAATAAAATGGGAAGTTCATATAAATGTAAAAGCTGTAAGAATACGAAGATTAACGCATTAGTATTAATTAATACATTTTTACTAATATATTTAATAAAATTCAAAATTTTATTCATTTTGGTTGTCTTATTTAGCATTCAGTAAATGAAAGTTAGTCAGAATAGTAATACAATAGCCAGAATAAATACTTTAGAATAAATCCAATGATTCTTGAATTCCTTTTACATTCAACCACATATAGAGCATTCTTTTCATAAACTTTATATAATATATTGGAAAAAGGTAATTACAGACTTCATTTCCTTAAATATTGGTCCCAGATTTTTAATAATATTACCAGTTAGAAAATTTCTTAGTGGAAAGGTACAGAATTTTATTTCTATTTCAACACTATGGGTTTAGTGGTTCTTTAAATATAAAATCTAACTTTTTGTGCATTTCTTATGCAGCAAGAATTCCAGTTAGTAAAACATTTAAGCTTTAATAGGTTAAATAGAAGATATTTCATAACTTTCTACAGAAAATTCATAGAAATGTTTATTATAATATTTCATTCCAACTAATTAAGTAAAGAGTTCTGTGACTCAAAAGAGACCTCTCCCAAAAGGCTGGACGCTTTACTGCTTACCGAACCAATCCGTCATTTAGTCTTTTCATCACTGAGATCACAGTACTACAAGATGCACTACAGGAAGCAACTAAATTACGCCTGCTAGAAAAAGAAAGCTTTGTCCCAATTTCGATACAGAACACTCCAGAGAACAGATCTGAGGATCTCCTACAGTCTGTCTATCATAAGAAAATCTCTTGCCAGCTAGTCTGCAGCTGTCTGTTGCCGTAGAAACGAGCCTTGACCCATTGTTCGTTGGGGTGTCTTGAAGATGAATGATAAGGCTGAGGGGAAAACAGTTTATCATTCGTCATCAGTTATTCATTTTATCATTTATTCATTTTATCAGTATATATTATATAAACAGTTTATCAGTTATTCAGTTTCGTAATCTTCACGTGCTTTGCTTTAATCAAATGACCAACAAGCCAGTTAATCGCAAAGGGAATCGAAAAGTATTGTTTCAACCATATAGTCGTATAATCTTTGAAAAGTGATCAGCAAATATATTCTCGAATTTCAGACGTAAAAGTAGAGAATATTTTGTACTGAATAAAACACAATGAATATTTTACTAATTGGAGTTTTCTGAATGGGGACAGTAAGCAAAATTAGCTATTATATGTATATGTAGTTCTATGAAAAATCTCTCCCACATTTTTGAGTAATTTTTACAAACTTTGTAAAGGAACGTACATACGTATGATCTACATTTAAGCAAATGAAGCCACCTAAATGAATAGGATATCTAAAAATAAATTGTACAAATTCATCTTTTAATGATATCTATGGCGACACACGTAAAATCACTAAACAAGGTTGCGTAGAATCTGCATTTTTCAAACTTTCATTTTTCTAAAATGACCAAGAGGATAACAACATTTAATACTGGTAGTTTATCCTAAGCTCGAACCTTGGCGAAAGGAACTGGCTGCATGGGGTAAACACCCATGGTTGTGATTTCCTTCATGTGCAACGGTAATATGAACCCCATTTTCCTTATACGAACACATTCCTCTCCTTAGATAGACAGCTTCCGTGCGCTTTGGCGTACAGACAAGTAAACAAACAAGTACAAGACAGTCAAGTAAATAAAAAAAATATTAAAATAACATTATTAGAAGCATTCAATAACACTGGTAGTCAAATTCCCAATGATTCATCTAATATCTGAAATATCTTCATGAAAGGAATAATTGTTTATTGTGCAACATCATTTGAATTTTTGGAAAATGCTTCAATTTATGAACTGAACGAATATTTTTTCATGTTTTTTTACTTTGGTACCATCATCCTGAGATAACATTTTTTTTCATTACAAAATACGCATTTATCTTAAAAGAATGAAGCTTAAACATATACAAGGTGATTCGTTACCAGACCGACAAACTTGCAGGTTTTGTATGGAGTACAGCGACGACCCGGAATTACATAGGAATGCGGGTCGCAAATGCTGAAGTTGCGAGCTATGGTGCAAAGAAGCAGAGAAAAAGAACAGAAACAGCCACACATTAATAGCACAGAAAACATTTTATTGAAAGGTTGTACTACAACATGTGTTCGAAATTATGACCAGAAGACGTCCGGCAGGCCTGACAACTGCGCTGCATGGAATTCTTTACGTTCTGAAAGATTCCTGGCATGTCACGTATTCTCTCGGCAGCTACAAATATTCGAGCGACGAGGTTTTCAAATGAAGGAACAAGCATCTCGTACACCAAACTCTTCATGTGACCCCAGAAGAAGAATTCCACACATGAAAGGCTCAGTGATCTGGCAGGCTAATGAACCGGGCCATCACGACCTATTCACCGCTGTACAAAAGTTACGTCGAGGTGTCGGAGGACGTCAGTAGTGTAATGTAGAGGAGTCCCGTCGTGCTGGTCACTGAATGGCGCAACGATGAGAGACATACGTCAAGAAGTTCAGGCAATACTTGTTGCAAGAAGATCAGGTATGCCCTACCGTTCAAAGGACTGGGCAGTAGGTACGATCCAGTAAGGTAGTGTCCAAGAATGTCGGCCCAAACATTGACCTAGAAACGCTTTTCAGCTGCACGTGGTTGCGTACTATGAGGGTTCTCCAAAGTTCAAACATGGGCATTATGCAGATTGAAGGCTCTCTCACGTGTGAAGTATGCTTCATCCGTGAATAGTACGGACGCAGCAAATGCGCTGTGTAGCACTCTGCAGGAGCTATGTAGGAAATGTCCTCCGGAGTGGATAATACTACCAAGCTCTAATAACAAGACACGATGAAGATTGTATGCGTTCATTTGGTTTGCTGCAAGTGGCCTCCAAGCAGTGGATTGAGATAAATCCACTAATTGCGTTATCGCTCGAGTACTCGTACTTGGATTGTCTTCTGCCAGACGTAAGACTGCCTCATTGCCAGGTGCCCTCTCGTCGTTCGCTGTCAATTCATTGTAGCTCTCGTTAAACAAGCAGCCTCACGTAACCTTCTGTTCGCACTTGCGAAGGTCGTATGGTGTGGAGCACGCCTTTTCGGGTAACGTTCTTGGTACAACCGCCGAGCGGCATTTTTTTGCCTGTTACAATCCGCAGCTCCATACATGGTCAGCATCTCTAACAGTTCATCGTTTGAATAACACGTTCATCCTACTACCTCGGGAAATGGATCACAAACCACGAATTCCAGCAGGATCGCTGTTCACGCAACCTTCCGTTCAACGCCATCTACCGCAAGACTGCCGGGAGTAATCTTCCAGAACGAAACGAACTTCACGCAGCGTTACTTTCAGGCCTTCCGGACAACTTCTGGTCGTAATTTCGAACTTCTTTTGTAGCACAATCTTTCAATAAATTTTTTTCTGTCCCATAAAATATGTTGCAGTTTTTGTGCTTTTTCTACGGCATTTCCGACCTTGCATTCCTATGCGATTCCTACAAATCCTGGAAGTTTGTCGGTCTAGGAGCGAATTAACCTGTAGATAGAAAAAATTACTTTAAAGCAGTTGGAGATAACGAGCAAAGTGTACGATAGCTATCTGCTTAAAGGTAAGGAAGGATTTGTAGAGGACTTTTCTAAAGAATTCTGTTTCGTATTCATATTATACATGAGACGAACTATGAAAATTCTCACGCAACCTGTCCCTTTGCCGGAATATGAACTCATATCAAACTAATAATTGTGTTCAATAATCCTAATCACTTAGCCGCTAACAGGCTATCTTCCTTTTAGTGGTGGAGTAATCTTCCATACTTTAGACCTGAGGTGAGATATATCCTGCCCTAAATACGAAGAACATGGTTAAGGAACGCAGCCACGAGTTCTTATTTAGTTGGAAATATCTGGACAGATTTTACTTCAACCACTTTAATTTATTTCTCCAGCTTACCTCCAAAGGCTAAAGCTTTCGGCGTCTGGAAACGTCTCCTACCAGAGTCGGCAACGTTTGTATCTGTTCATTGTGATGGAAGGAGGACCAGGATTACAACAGAGCTTTCGTTGGAGATAAACAATGCTCTAAAGAAAGACTCTGGAATATATCTGTGTTTCAACGGACCAGAAATCATGGCCAAGTATGCTGTAGATATTATCGAATGGGAACCTCATCGTTATGTGAGTTCATTGCTATCTAACACTACAATAATGCTGTAATACTTTTAAAAGTTTGTGCAAATGTCTGCATGTACTTGTTCTGCACTCATACAATTTTTTTCTTTGTTTTATACACTATATAACTTGTAAGATTTTATTTCAATTACCTGATTTTGATTTTGTTATAGCTTCTACTCCCGTCAATTCCACCGGAATGAAAATCATTATAATCTTTAAAATATACTCGAAGATAAGAACCTTCACATGAACAATTTGATATGCCAAAAATTATATGCCTTAGTGCATTCAAATTATATTAGCAGCCTTCCTCGCTTTCGTCAAAAGGCGCTCTGCGAAGCAAGAGGGGTTTGCCATAACATTAGGCTCCCTTCGCGCGCCACTATTTTTTTCGATTATTTCATTTAAAAAAGTTTACCCTCTAGTTGCAACGTTTTTGAGAGAGACTGCGCTTAGCTGCATAGGCTGACGACCACACTGCTTTAGTTTCCCTGTAATTGAAAGTGAACTTGCAGTTTTTGCCAGCTGCGATTGTTATACGAGCACTTAGTCAGGACGACACGAGTGTTAATTTCATACTTTTTATTTAATACAATTTTAACGTGTGTTTGGAAAATAGTAGGTTTTAGTTTCTGTTGACCTTTTTAGCCTATGTAACCATCAGATCAATGTGTTAATAAATAATTTTATTTTAAATTTTTACTTTAGTTGTGATCCTTTTAAGACAGGCAAGACGAAAAATCGACTGGCAATCTCTTTGTGATTATTCAGAAGTGAATTATTAGTTAAAGAAACAGCATAAACAAAATTTGTTTTAGGGAACATATAAATATTTTTAATTATTTCCTCTGTAGTATTTGCATACAAAACTTTTTTCTTGTTGTAAGACATTTAAAATTTCTTCCAAGGAAGTTTGCGTATGAAAGTTTACTTACATAAAAGTACAAATTAATAGCTTTGATAAAAATGGTAGATTCTGATAGAATCTGAAATATCTGAATTCTGATATAAATAATAGATTCTGATAGAAATGTTTGAAATAGGCTTTCAAACAGTTTTGGGGAATTAGAGATCATATTTTAGAAGTTTGTCAAACTTGACGACAGTTTGGTGATAATTGTTCGAATTTGGCGACGTCACGAAATTTCTTAATCTTTCTAAATCATAGCGAGCATGCACTCCTGGAGTATAGAAATTCCTAATTATTCTCTCCCTCTATTAGCCATGAAGCTAACTCTGCAAATCACTAGAAGTCAGCCCTAAACTCGTTTTCTGGCGAATGAAAGTGTTAATCGCAGGGACTCTTAAGAGTTTTCCCATAGCATGAAAATGTACCAGCTTCCCTTAAAAATCTTCTATGAATGTATACCCTTTTTTCGGCGTATAAACCACGAATATTTAGCATAATACACCACATTTCAATCTGGATATCCCCCTTCTTTCCATTAGTATTCCATACAAGGAAACTCATTGGGAAATGGGTGTATTTTTTAAATTTTTCTCAGTTCAAACACTTGCGTATTTGCTATACAATTGTAATGCAGGTTTAGATCTGACTATTTTGAATCTGTGTTTTCGAGTATATTAATGCCGGTGAGTTTTTGAACCAGAGTGCATTTTAGAATGCGTTACAAAATATATTCCTGTTATAAGGATAATATTTCGGTTAGTCTTAGGCTACTGGTGCGAGTTTTTGCCCATAATTTATATATTGAATGTAACATTTTAAAGCATGAACAAAGTTCTCTTTACACTGAACTATTCATTCAGAAGATAAAATTCGATTCGCAACCATGCAGTACTACTGAAAAAGAAGACTAAATAAAGAGATTCATTTACTTTCCTTTTACTATTTAATTTTGCTTACGTTAATTACATTAATAGAGTTCGAAAGTAATGCCTATAGAGTTCTGAACGTGATATAACTGAACAGGATCCTTTGATTTGATTCTGATTTGGTCCTATCACCCTTGGATTTGATTCTGAAAAGTACATGAAGTAATAAGCAACAATGACTGGAAAACAATTTTAATCTGAATGAAAACAAAAAAGTAATCTCTTTAAAATAGTGATCCATAATATAGTTAATATAGTCAATAATATAGTTTTAATATAGTGATAAAGTGATCTTTTTAATATTGAATAAAATCAAATCCCTCTGCGCTCTGATGACTATGGGTTGAACGGTAAATTTTAGAACGACTTTGCTCCTATTAGGCTACTACAAGAACCATTCCCTTCTCCCTTGCAGTGTTCTGAATATCTTTTTATCAAAATTAACACTAAACATATTTTTTATTTCATTAGTTATTAAATATCATATATCGTATACCCAATGTTTTATATACAACTTTGTTCCGCATCAAAACACTTTCTGTGAATTCTTTGACAAGTATTTCGTATAATTCAAACTTTATTTACTCAGTTATTGGCTTTACAAATTATGCACTGTTAAACATCTGTGAAAAATAATTGTTTTTCTACACTGCTGCTGTATATAGTTGCTTTAGGAAATAATTTTTGACTATATGAAACTTTTAAGTTGAAAAACGACTGTATTTGAAATAAGATATTTTATCATCAACCAACTACAATTATTTTATTATATTTAGTCCTACAAGCACAATACTAGTATTCATACTAGTACTGTACTCATTCACAGTACTAGCACAGTACTAGTAGTTCGACAAGTACAATACTAGTATTCATTTGCAGTAAAGAAACTCGAAGTTTTTAGTAACTGTATAGAAACCATTATACATTTCATTTCAGAGCAAGACACGTTAAAAATGAGCAGTCCTTACCCGGGATTCGAACTCTGAACCTCCCGTTTGTTAGGGGCACTGCTTTGTTAGGGGCACGAAGGAATGTGACAAAGAGAGAGAAAATGCCTTACAACTGTGGGTGAAAACATCATTTTCAGGGTGACCAAAGATGGGCGATTGAACTTAAATGCCATGTAATCCAAAAAATTGGAGAATTTTAATCGACTCGTCCTAAATGCAAATGCAGCATTATTTCTAACTTTAGTGGCTATATTTCTATCTTTCTAGCTTATGCTGTAAACCTCAAAAAGATTAATGAAAAATGCTACCGTTAGTTTAAAACATGCACTAAAAAGATCATCGGTAGAATCTCTCTGCCGATCTAAATTCTACTAATAGGACTTCAAGCAGACTTTATCTAATGTCACCTTTTATGGAAACGCAATAACTGAGCAGACAACGACTACAGCATTAAAAAATCTGATGTGGACACCACATACTTCCTTGTACGGTCTATTAAATTATAATTTTTTTTCTGCACTTTACTTAAACTTATTTCTCGAATTATTCCAACTTATGTAACCGATTCCTCAAGGCAGATTGAAAATGACCGCAAGAACTAAAAATTTTGAAATTAAATATACCGGTAAATTTTTGTCGTGCGGAAGTCAATATTCTTGTGCTTTCATTTCTTCATAACGATTATAAAACTTTCCCAAATTATACGCATGGAACCAGGACACCGCATTGTTGTTGTTACTAATGCTCACTTGTCTGACCTATAGGAAGACCGCATTAAAAGTTAGATTTCGTTATTTGTCGAAAATATTTTTTTTACTTTGACATTCAAAAAACATGAGTATTTTGGTCATTTAAAAAATACGGTACTGTTCTGTTATCGGGAGCGGGTCCAGAAATGTATGTATGTATGTATGCATGTAATGTACTGATGTATATGTTCATATATGCATGTATATATGTACGTACATATGTGTTTGTGTGTGTGTACACATAGATATATGCGCACACATCCGTACACATGTGAATACATGCTCACTCTTCTGAATCCGGTCCTGATAACCTACAATTACTTCTGTAATTGGAAGTATATGACTACGACCAACGACTGAAAATAAAGGCCGGATAAGGGGGTATGTATATATATATACGTTTGGTACTACCGATTGCAATAAAAAGGAAGTGCCTAGCCAGATTTTATAGCAGTCCCATATACAAAATTTCAACATAGCTAACTATTTTTGAGTTATGCGAGATACATATACACGAACGTACGGGAAGAAATAACGAAAAAACAGCCCTTTTGAATCCATTTCAAATTCATTTTACAATCCTTTCTAGAAAAAGACGTAACGCAAAAAAATTGTCCAGATGGATTCGAGAGCGGTCAAATGCATATTTCCGTTCGAATATGATACCTTAAATCTTTCGAGATTATAATACTTCCTTTACTTCGTATAAGGAAATAAAAAACTACCTCTATCCTGAAAACAGAGTCTGGAAAGAAAAATATGAAGGTTTTTTTCCTGAACATGGTATTGGAGACGTTCAAAACTTTTTTGTCAAACTGAGGCATCAGACACAATAACAATTTAAAAAATGGCGACGGGATGCAATTCCGTGAATGAGTAACGAATCAATAAAACTTCAAGGGGAAGAAAGCAAATAGAAATGAAACAAAAAACGGTATTTTCTGATTCTTCGCAAGCCCACCGAAAGTTGGAAACTAATTGGTGACATTCTGAATTAGCACAAAGTATATGTTTGGCTATTTTTGCTGCTCATAAGTACAGTTCTATTTATAAATAATGATAAAACAAGCAATTTACAAGAAACAAGAAATATTACTAAGGGGAAAAAAATCTGTCAGATCAGTGATTACTTGCTTGAAGGGTGTCGAAATGGTATAATGGCTTCGAATGCTATTATAGCTTGAAGGGTGTCGAAATAGTAGTTAAATGCAAACCTTTTAAATTCATTTGCACTGAAATTTTTGTGTCGTACGAGTATACCTGGGTTAGCTATCGTTGTGAATGTACTGAAAAATACCACAAAAGCACGGCAATTTTAAAAGACTGAAACAGGAGTTGAGAATAATCAGAAAGTACTTTGTAATTTAGCTCCTTTTGCAGTCATTTTTTCTTTAAGTTGCAAATAAAAAAGAATGTAGCTTCTAAGAGAACTTTCTCACATGAACTAAATTTTACCCTTGTTTCTTTCGAAGCTCGTGGGTAATACTTGCAAGAAAAATAGCGGTAATATTCTGTTATCAGGACCGGATTCAGAAATGTACGTATGTGTGCATGTATATATACTATATGGATGTGTGTGTTCATGTATGCATGTTTATATGTAAGTACGAATGTGTGTGTGTATATACATATACACATATATGAACATACATACATACACACGTGCATACATTCATACATTTCTGAATCCGGTCCCAATAACAGAACAGTACCAAAATAGCACATATACACTCTTTTGCAAAAAAAAATCGAAGCACCATGAAGGGGTTGTTTTTGATGAAATTGAATATGTGTATAGCTTATACGTAGATAATAAAATTATTAAAAAATCAAGGTCTTAGTACCTGTTCACGGCTCACAATCACCCACTGAGTTTTCAAATCAGTAGTTGGTCGAACCATCCCTGGAGGCAATGCATGCTTGAATTCGTCGAGGCAAGGAGTGGTAGAGGTTCCTAATGTCATCCTGCGACACATTCTGCCAGGCATTCATCAGTTGTCGCTCCAGATCTGCGATATTTTGTGATGCCTGAATCTGGCGGCCTACCATGTGCCAGACATTCTCGATTGGTGAAAGGTCTGGTGATCTTGCTGGCCAAGGAAGAATATCACGGAGACAGATATGCGAGCGGTATGTGGCCTGGCAGTATCTTGTTGTAAAATGGCCCCATGATGACGTGCCATGAAGGGTAATGCAACCTGTTGCAGAATGGTATCAGCATATCGTTGAGCTGTTATAGATGAACAGAGGATGACTAAATATGACCTGCTGTCATAATATATAACCCCCACACCATCGATTATGGCTGTATGCCTTTGTAAAACAAAAAGGCTGATTGGGACCGCTGGCTTTGTACTCTCCAGACACGAACACGGTGGTCATCTGCTTCAAGAATGAAGCGGAATTAATCGTTGAACACTATACGACGCCAGTCTGATGGCAGCCATGATGACAACTCCAGACGACTCCGCCGATGTTGTGGGGTCAAAGGCAAACATCTTAAAGGCCTCTGTGAGCGTACCTCGCCTCAGACAAGCGACGTGAGATGGTGGTACCATAAAAGGTACAGACGTGGCTGTAGTGCGTTGAATAGTCGACAACGATACCGTTGGGCCGGTTCGAGCCTGGCAAACAATCGTCATATCTTGCCTCGTATTTGTGCTCCTGGGATTTCCAGAGCCTTCACTTCGTCAGCAATTTCCTTGTAGCAACCATTGCTGCCAACATCTTTGCACAGCAATGTCTGTACGCTGCAGGTGGCGGCCTATTGCTCAGTATGACCATTCAGCTTCACGCAACCCTACATTGCGACCACGTTCGAAGTCGTTTAGTTATCTGAAAGGTCTTCGATATCGTCGTAATGGCATCTTTAGTTGCTACTTTACGGAATTATAATGGCAGCAACAAAAAAAGATAAATTTCCGCCTCTGTAACTGGTTTTATACTTGCGTACTAGAATTGCGCACTGCGAATTGCGTACTAGAAATGAGCGCTATGATCGTAATTCCTGTTCATTTGTCTTGAAACTTTGATCATTTGCATGTTCGATCATGATGTTTTTGTATACCAAATTTCCTCACGATCGCTGTCCTTCTTGGTGCTTCGATTTTTTTGCAAAAGAGTGTAGTATAAAACAGAGTAAAATCTATCAAAAGCTTTTCAAATGTAGCAAAAGAAGGGACTTTTAAATACAGTTCAATAAAAATTGTATTTTCTTGCTTACAGATTATTATGTCTGGAAGAAAGAAAAATCCAAGTACAGAGGGTTCCACAGATCTTGTTCTGAATGATCAAAATCTGGTTGTAGGTATGAGTTGGTCGGAATGGAGCGAATGTAACCGCTGTGGCACTGTTGGGAAAAGAAGAAGATTTGGAATATGCACAGTAAAGGTAAATTAAATCTCAAGTTACACAGCTCTTGTTACATATTTTATGTTATATAGTACCACCTCCAGTTGTTAGACAAGTTAGAAACAAGAACATTTTTTGGGGGAAAGGACGCAAATTGTCGGAAATATGATGATATTTCTTTTATGTCTAAACAAACTAAAGCCTAAATAAGGTCTCATACAGAGGGTCCATTAAATTCTTTATGCAGCCTTTATGTTAGTCATAAACATATACACCCACTCAAAAAAAATGCTTTATTTATGCTATTGCAAGTCTAAATTTAAAAAAAAAAGTTTTTGTCCCAGACGATAAAAATTAATTGAGATATCTTAAAGTTGAAAGTTCTATTTTCTCAAAATTTAGGAGTCGTACACAAATTGAAAACCAAAATATTTAAATTTGTATGTATTTAAGAATTAAATATTAATATAACAAGTTATGAATACTGCTTTGCAGACTGTCGTGTAAATTTTTGATCATCACACATTTTTTCCACAAGGAGATGTTTATCATAAAATCTTACAGAATTCGAGATCTAGAAGGCAATGGTCAGTTTTGGTGTTGGCACGTAGCCATCTCGAAACATTTTTCCATAGATTAAAAAAAAAAATCTAATCCAATGAATTTTTATGACTGTCAGACTACAGTGCTAAAATAGTAAACGTACGTATCAAGTTATTGACATATTTTTAGCATTTCAAACTCATAAATTATTTTTATGAAAATGCTTTCCGCGTACCAAATGTTTCAGTCCTAAAATAGTAAACCTGCATACGAATTATCAGCATAGTTTTAGCAGTTCAAAACATACAAATTACTTATACAAAAATGTTTCCGGCGTAACAAATGTAAAAAAATCATAAATGGAAGAATTTTATAAACTAATAAATCACAAGGAAATATCACTGAATGATAAAAATTGAAAAAAAAGTCAATCCCGAATTATCCTGTTTTGTATCTTAACTGACATCTGAAGAAAAGCCAAAGTAATTGTCCTCTGGCACTGAAAAATATGAAAAAGTTCTGAATATAGCAATTGAATACCTCGGCCAAATTTTTTTCGCACAAGGGTCAAGTCTTTTTGTTTATTTTTCAACAAACTTTTATTAAATACACGTATGCACCGGGAAAAGAGTGTAAAAAAATAAAATTTCGTAACTTTCACAAAACTTACATTTTCTTTCTTTTTTTTTTCATTTAAAACAATCATTATGTTAGAGTAATCAGCCTTTTTATACCTACTGCCCGCTTTGTAGGTAATAAAATTTTCTTATCGCCCATCGATTCTGGTGCAACTTAATTTTCTAGCAAGTGCAAAATAATTATTTGAGGGAAAGCTTAGTAAAAAATATGCGGTTAAATCTATCAATTTATTACACTATATTCAATTCCTATCAATTTATTATACTATATTCTCATCAATTTATTATACTGTATTCAATTTCTATCAATTTATTATACTATATATCAATTTATTATGCTATATAATATTATATTTATAAAAGACAGAAAATTTATTAAAAAATAAGCTTTTTAAATTGAAGAAAATGAAAATTAAATGCAAAAATTTTAATTAATTATTAATGGGATCTTACGGCTGATGCTGCAAGACTAAATATTTGATGTCTGATTCATTTACCGTAACGAACACACGAAGATTTCCTCTTGCGGAAATATTCAGACGGTTTCCGTCTTTGATCTTAATACACACACTGGCCAATGAATTGAAAGCTTTGAGATTTTCATTTTAATGCGTGCTAGGGATGAAGTATGCAATTTTTTTTCATGACGTGGGTTACACGTGGTTAGAATGCTAGCATAAGTAAGGTGTAAGAGTGCTTTTCACGATGAATGAAGTAAATTAGGAAAAACGACAGGTCTTTCACTATTTGTGAAAGGGTTTATTGTCGGTGCTCGATTAGCAGAGGACTCGATTTCGAAGACACCAAATCTCACTGGGTTCTCAAAAGCAGCCATATCATAGATTTTTCAAAAGATGGAATCAGAACCCACAGTCCTTCTCCAGAAGACGTAACTGCCGTTCGAGCACAGTTTTCCAAAAGAGTGATCAGCGTCGTCTCCGACGAATTATACGGCAGGACAGGCATTATACTGTGCTTTCAACTGACACAGATTGTCAACCAAGGCTTTCCCAACTGATTTCAGCTCGAACAATGCACAGGGAATTGCAGAGAATAGGAATGCATAGTCGGGTGTTTGTGAGAAAATCACTCATTTCTACCCGACATGCAAGAATTCGTTTATAATGGGTCGGGAAAGAGGTCATCTGAGGATTGGAAATGGGTAATGTGGTGGGATGAAACACGCTACACCTTATTTTGCACTGATGGAAGACTTCGAATTTAGCGAAAACCCCATGAAGCTTATATATAAGCTTATATGGCTATCTTGTCTTACTCGCACTGTGCAAGGGTCTGGTGAGAGTATCTTGATATTGGGCATGTTCTTCTGGCATGGAAGGGGTGCCTTGGTTTTCCTCGAAGGTAAATAAACGGCCATGAGATACCTAGATATACTGGTAGATCAAGTGCACCCTGCAATGTTGCATTTTTATCCTGATGGCGACGGATACTTCATGGACGATAATGCAACTATACATCGTGCCGGAAGTGTTCAAAATTGGTTCTCTAAGCATCAGTCTGACTTCCAACACCTTCTCTGACCCCGTACAGCCCGAATCTCAACTCCATATCATATGTGTGGGATATGGTGGAACGATACATCCAACAGGACTTTCCTCTTCCATCTAATTTACAAGATCTAAAAATCTGCATAGCCAATGCATGGTATTCTCTGGACGTAAATGAACTCCACAAGCATGTAGACTCGATGCCCAAACGAATCAGAGTAGTTATCCGTGCAAAAGGTGGTCCAAATAAAATATTGATCTTGGGTTTCTAATTTATTGGCCAGTGTGTGTATAATTAACAGCATTAAAGCCTAATTCTACAAGATACGAAGTAGGAAAGATATTAATAAAATCATTTTACACTATTTGGATAAAGCACAGGTATTTTTTTCGACAAAGGTTTTCGTATGCCCCACTATCAAAATAATATTTTGTCTCGTCATCATATTTTGTATCGTCATCATATTTTATTTCTAATAACTCTTTCAACCTCAGCATTATTATTTTCAGTAAAAGGAGTTCTTATCCAGCCATACACCATCAAGTTCAAAATAATCGTCAAATGGTTTTTCTATATCGCCTTTAAATTCAATAATGTGACGTTAAATGCTTAACAGTAACTCATGTCTGATGAAGCAGCTCTTAAATAGATAATCAATAAATGTGACAGAGCAGGAGCGAATGGAATGTGTAGATATTTTAGATTTGTAGAAACAGTATTTAATTAGGATTTTCGGACCAGCCAAGCCTACTGTTCTATGGTTTAGAATTTGAACAGTGGATCTTCTTGTTGCTAGCTGAGTGTGCTACCCATTTACACTATGACAGAACGCATGGCGGAATGCAATAATTCCTAATAAACTGTTTGAGGTGTCGAATACATAGCATTTGCCTGATTTTACAAAGGAATATTTTCGTGCCTGACATGGAATGGAATATAAGTGATATGTTCTAGCAAGGAACATAAGACTGATTCTCTGGATCGAATTTTAAATTCCCCCACAGAATTAGGCCCACCAGCGGCCGAGCGGTTAAGTCGCTGAACCCTGGTAGTTCGGTCCGAGGTTCGAATCCCGCGAACGGGCTTGCTGCATGGGTGTTTTCGTGGTTTTCCCCATGTGTAACGTGTATACGAGCCAGTTTCCCTTAGAAAGTCCTCCACAAAGGCATCCCTCCCCTTAGGCAGATAGCCCTAGTGTGCTTTGCGATAATTAAATACACCAAAACACCAAAAAAGACCCCCCCACACACACACAGAATTAAGAATTTGTAAGTGACGAGCTTGCGAGCGCCTCTATCAAAGTATACATTCAATATAAATAAACTGTAAAGGAAAACAGAGCCTCAGAATGCTAAGCGGCTAGTGTTGGGAATGTGATTATTGTGATTTTAAAAGGGTTGTCTCAAAAGTAAAATATGGAAGGAAGTCGAGAAGAATTTTTATTCTATGGTTTTTTGGTTGTGATTCATGCTTTGAACATAGTCTAGATCGGAACCCTGACTTCATCGTGCCAACAAGGCATGCGATCCGCTTGTCGTTGACATAAGCCTGGGGCACTTTATGGGTATGAGCAGTATGTCTTGACATAGGCCTTGGGAACTTTAACATTATGAGATTGCACAGCTTTGTTGTAATTTTGGTGGAGAACGAATCTGAGGACCTTCCTCTCTTTCCCGCCAGTACAGTGATTAGTGACGCATACCAATGCTCCAGGGCTCAAATTCCGGCACGTTTGTGTGGCAGGTTTACATTCTAAATACACGGCGAGCCGAAAACTCCTCTTGAGAGGTCGATAGGAGAAGAAGAGGGATGGAAGCCCCTCCGAGTGTCCCTCGGGGTGTTCTTCCTCAAAACTGCAGCTGAACTGCACTGCTAGTCTGGCGAGACTAGCTACGAGCAAAGGTGAAATTCTGTTGTTTTATCTAATTCTGCTTGTAACTCTACCTCTTTTTCTCATCCGCTCAGCCGGCGTACTGGTTAGTGACCCTGACTATCGTACCGATAAGCCCGAGTTCAAACACAGGAGAACGCACGGAGGTTTGTAACTGTATAGTGTTTAAACCGCAGAGCTGGCTTCCGCCCCGGATATATCTAGGTATACCCATACGGAATTGAGTGCCAACCCAGCAGGGAGATGCCAAAGAGGACCATGCCACGGTAACACAACTCCGTGGAAACGGCAAATTTAATGTTCTATTTCTTTAAAAGAAAAAAGGAGGTTCACAACATGGGCAGGGTTACGGGGCTCTTGAAGAGTTGCTAATATTCTATTGTCATACTGCATAAATCAAGTAATAGGGGATTACAACTGAATATGTAAATACACTGTTGTTGCATTACATATGATTAAGAGGTACAAATGCTTAAATTTACATAGAGTTACAAAGTTAATAATAGACATTCATATGATATTGGTACAATTAATATATATAGAAATTCAAACAATACACAGAGAAATGCTAGTTGTTACCACCAACAGAGTACAGACAGAACAGTGTAGGAGCTTTATGAGTGTAAATTAGTTTAGAATTATGGACTGTGTGCTGTAGTTCATATGCCAGTGCACACCTCCATATGAAGGCGATGCATTACAATGTATTTACCAGTTGACAGTCAGAATTAGGTAGCCGTGCGGTAGCTGATGTCTCTAATTAGTAAGGTTTGATGAATCAATGTTAGCCATAGTCAATGAGATACGATGTGCCCAGCCAGCAAATGTCTGTGGGTGTGTATACACTGAGCCCTAAGGGCTTTCAAGTGGACCACTATGGTCGTTATTGCAAATCTGCACTCCTGTTGCTGGGCTACATTATTACGAATTCATCTATGACAGCATTGATCTTTAGCTGGTCTTGTCTTAGTCTCTTTGTAGTCTGGAACCATTGGGGTCAGTAATTGTCATTAGGCTTTTTGACCCTGTACTGGGCTCTGAGGGTGCATAAAAAGAAGAAATGGTCAGGGTCACCTACCTCACCAACTTCGCAGGTGTCATTATCTAGGAATCCAAAGTAAATTTGTACGTGAGGACTGGGTCGTGTCCCGTTAGAAACTGCGTCATGAAATATGTGTGGGACTGTGTATCGGTCTTGACTTTTGAAATAAAGAACGAACGACCCGTGATGCCCTGATCCCATCTCTGTTGCCACTGAGACAGTAATTGTTCTTGTGTCTGTCTTTTGATGAAAGAGATAGGCTTTAATGTGCCTTCTTCATTGACGTCAGTGGAGCTGGCCGTCTCCTTTGCCGCAACATCAGCCAGATCGTTTCCTGAGATACCAGTATTAGCCGGCACCCAGCTGAGACTTGGGGTGTGCTCCTGGTTGAATTGTAACAGCTGCCGTCTAATTTCTTGAACTAGCGGGCTACGTGATCTCTCGTTAGCTATGGCCGCCAGAATGGAGAACGAGTCAGAGTAGATTTGTGTGATCTGAGTAGATCTGACCTTCAGCTTCTGCGCTATACTCCAAGCACTGATGGCCAGCAGTTCAGCCTGATTATACGAAATTGTAGTGCGCCAATCTCCTTTTCAATTAATGCATCACTTCCCCGTCTGAGACGTGGCAGAATGCGCAGTCAGTTCCTGCCAATGTCTTACAACCATCGGTAAAGAGACCGGTACGCTGTATTATGTCATGGGCTGCTCTCGAAATGGTGATATAAGTGTCGATGCAGTTTTCCGCCGGATGACAGGGAATAACTGGCCTATGCTCTTCATATTCTTCATACGAGTAGTTGTAAGTCTGACCCCATAGCGTATGTTGTCGTCGCAGTCTTGTGGCCTTTCCTATTGCAGCCTCACGCTCTATAACCAAATCGGTCACAAGTACTAGCGGGGTGACGTACCCTCTAGTACTTTTAGGGCTGCTGTGGTGGAAGTTTTATAAGCTCTGCAAATCATTAGCATTTTTGCCGCTGTATAGTATTCAGTTTGCGTAGCATGTTGGTGTTAAGACGTGTACCCCACACTGATGCACCGTAGGTCACAATCTTCTCATTAACCGTTTTGTAGCAAATGCGCAGAATTTTGGGAGACAGTCCCCATCTTAAGTTGTCATTCCCCCGCATACCGTTGGTAAGGAGATTGATGCGTTGCTTTAGCATCGGGATGTGCGGGAGCCAGGAAAGTCTCTGATCTATGATCATTCCAAGATACTTCAGTTCAGTAACACATTTAATTCTATTTCGAAATAACTTGAGGCTGGGGTTTCGCCTTAGTGGAGGTCCTTCACCTATGATGAGAGCTTGCATTTTTTGGACGGAGAGTTCAAGTTTATGTTTTCTGGCCCACTTGTGCAATAATATCTAGGCTCTCTTGTGTTCCGTTGCTCAGGTTTGAGCGACCTGCCACTTTTAATGGAAAGTCATCAGCGTAGGCTATCAGTTTGACTCCTTCTTGGTTTTCAAGCAGAGCGAAAACGGTGTTTGCAACTAGGTTCCACAAGGTCGGCCTAAGGCAGGACCCTTGTGGGCAGCCTCTCTGTAGGGATTTGGTTGCCGTTGCTCGGTCCAGTGTGACTGGACTTGTCTATTGTCTAGATAGCTTCTAAGCAGATGCCTTATGGTAGGAGGACAGTGAAGTTATTCCAGAGCCTCAATGATATCTGGCCACCACAGCGAGTCGAAGGCTTCCTTAATGTCAAGAGCTACAACCGTTGTGTGGCAATCATCGCGTCTATTTTTGTGGACTGTGTCGACTACCTGCTGTAGCGCATGTTCGATTGAGAATCCAACACGAAAACCATAATGTGCTTGATGAATTAAGTTATTCTGTTCGAGATGGAACCACAGTCGGCGCAGAATTAGTCTCTCCAAAAGTTTCCCAAGTACAGGAAGTAGGCAGATGGGTCTATACGAGGATGGATTGATAGAATCTTTCCCTTATTTGCGAAAGACGGCTACCTCAGCTATCTTTGTTCCGGCAGGGAAGCAGCAGAGCTTCCAACTGGCTGTGAGAAAGGCTGTAAGAAGGTTTGGGAACGTGCTGTTGATAACCTTGCTGATATTATTATCAATCCCATCAAGCATCAGGTCCAGGAGTTTTTTCGGGTCTAGCGCTTTTACTAATTGCCCTACCACTGTGGCAGTTGGGAGAGTTTCATAGTACTGTTGTAGTTGCTCTTTATAGTTGATGAATTTCCTTCATATTTCCCGTTGCGTTATCTGGTTTCTTGCTGTGCAGCAAGGGGCACTCAAAATATACAACAAGCCGTAAATCCTCTAGAGAGGTAAATGATAGGCGAAGATGAGTGGGAGACCTACGGATCACCCTTGTTCCCTTGTGGTGTTCTCTTTCAAAATTGGAATGAAAGCTTAACAGTGAGGAAGACCTGGTTATAAATAATATATACCTATACGAATGTAGAGAGGCCGGCCTTCCATCGACCTGTACCGAGAGGGCTTTCCGTTCGACATTATTTTACTTCCCCCGATGCCGTACTTATGCTCTCATAAAAATCCATGCCTTCTCAAGGATCCGAACCTGAGTCCAAAGCTATTTCTCCTACCATAATATCAACCCCACGACTTTAATCTGTAGAAAACATAACTGTAATGGCTTAGATATTTAAAATAACTATTTCTGAAAGGGGTATAAAGTGTCGGTGTCGTTTCGCATAAAATCATACTTGTTGGAAAAATTTGGTATTTTGAATTGAAATCAGGGTAGAAGGTGCTATAAAGCTCAGTATTCAAAGTTTCCGTAGCAAAAAAAGTGTTAAATTTTATTGCGCAGTGAACTGTTGACTAATTAATTAACTTCCGATGTAAGCAGCCTGTCACAAACCATTAATCTGAACTTTCATTTATAAAAAATGCTAACTAATTCAGAGTAAAAATAATATTTTTTAAGTAACCGTCTGGAACCAGTCAAAATGTTTTGATCGTAAATTATCGTTTTTATCCACAGAAGTTGAATCCAGGTTTATCATCCAAACCTACGGATACAGAGCTCTTCAATGAGTATAAAAGTGGATTACCTTGCAGATCTAGCCTATTGCCAGGAGAAATAAGAAACCTATCCGCCATTTGTAACATGAAATCTGAATTTGTGATAGGATTTTGTAAAGTAAGAAATTTAACTTTAGTTAATAATACTAGAAATAATTTTCGAACCCTCTGAAATTAGTTATGTATAATTATAATGCGAGGTATGTGAATAAAGTTCGATAGATATGCTCGTAAAGAAAAAATCTTATTTTTATCAAAGAAAAAGTTTTTTATTCTCTCGAAATAACGCCCGCCGTTTGCAATACACTTTTGGAAATGACTGTACACTTGATGAAAACTGTGGGCAAAGTTCTCTTTCGGTATCGCATGGACAGGGCCATAAACTGTTTCCACGACGAACGCCGAATGTGGACAGGGCATAATGAGCTACGGAGTTTTCTGGACGTATACGACGGATTCTGTGCAATAAATTTGTCAAAATATCCTTGTATGTGTTATCATTCATTGTTTTTCTTTCTGGCTAACATCTTCTTCAGTTTTGAAAAGTTTTCGTTTCTACAAAACGCCGTAAACCTACCGCTTTGAGCAGCGATTTCAATAGAATCTCTTTCATCATGAAAACATTTAAACCATTCATAAACGCACTTAAAAGATGCAGCTTCATCTCCGTAATATTGTTTCATAATGTCATGATTTTACTCCAAAAATTTATCAAGCTTGAATCAGAACTTAAAGTTCACCCGTTGCTACATTTTACAGCTCTTACTACACGTTTGCTTATTAGAGTCATGGAGGTAGGAAAGGGAGGAGGGGCCATTCCGCGCTAGAAGTGAAGCACTGCTTTAAAGCTTTCACCAGACGGGGTGTTCTTTGTTTACATTCAGAAGCTCGCTTGACAAGATTCTGATAGTATTTCGACACACGACAGTTCCATAGAAATCGAAAACGGGACACTCTCGCATGAAAGAAACATTCATAGTGTGATGGATAATAGCAATTTGTATAGTTACTGACATTTACGCAAAAATCACATCTTGGTATTTTTCGATAACTAACAACAGCGATTTTGATTATGAATTTGTTTTATAAAATTCTAAGCTGGCTGCACTACAAAAAATATAGATTTTAAGAAAATTGCTAAAGAGATCTGCGAAATTTATTTTCTAGAAGATTTGAAAAGTTTGAAACTTGATGTCCTAAATGTAAATATAAAATTATGTATGTTAAAATATTTGTAATTAGGCACATAGGTCAGATTAAGTTTTTATTAAATAGAGTAACGCATGAAAGGGCTATCTGCCTAAAGAGAGAGATGCCATCGTGGAGGAATTTTGAAGAAAAACTGACCTTTGAGTGGGTATTAAAAATAATACTTATAATTTTCCATTCAAAATTATATTCATATATATTTTTTATGTAAAACTTCGGGTGTATGCTAAATTAGTGTAAATTACTTTACACGAAAAATATAGTGAATGCACAGAAATTAAAGATTTGCAAATGCCGGAAATGATAAATAGGAAATATGTATGGGTATTTACGCATGTGCTTGCAAAAAGCAGTGTATCTGCCTTTGACAAAAATACTTAAATATTCATTAAATTATTTATAAATGTATTTGAAATGAGAATTTATTCACTTATAAACAACTGTGAAAGTACTGTGAAGAAATCTAATGATTAAATGTATCTAATTTATAATGATTATAAATGTTATCTAAATATATAATAACCTTATATTGAATTGTAAACATAAATTGAAATCCTGTTGACAAATACGTTATAAAACTATTTAAGCAAGATTGTTCGTATTGGAAGCATCTGTTAAAAGGTATGTAAAAGCAAATGCTATGAGATGCGCACTTAAGAACGTAATAAAGAGGTTTGGAATATGTATTGTTGAAATGAAGGGTAAAAAAAAAAAAAAATCTGATAAGTATAATTAAAAGAATTATTCCTTTACATTTTATAATAACTCAGTTACAAGTTTTAAATAATACTTAAAAAAAAAAAAAAAAAAAAAAAAAAAAAAAAAAAAAAAACTTATTTTCCCTTTCAGAAATGTTCAGAGAAAGTCAAATACTATTTAATACCTGTTTAATTATTAGGAATTAGCGAAATACCCGAATAGAGCATTAATTATAAATTGACTAGAATTAGCGAAATACTAGAATTAGCGGAATTAGCGAAATACCCGAATAGAGCATTAATTATAAATTGATTTTTCGATTTAAAAGAAGCCAAAAAATCATGTCATATTTAAGAAAGTATTTTAGGAAGAAGCTCTATAAATAGAAAAGAAATAATGCATAATTTAATATTAATAATACAATAAACTTTGATCTTAATTTTTGTACCTTAACCGAATAAAATCGAATTACCTTAATTTTTTTTTTCTAATGTAATTAACGAAAACTGTGTGAAAATATTCATTCAAATTAAACCATCTGAGAAAACTGTCCTGTGAAAAGTATATAGCATTTAATTCCGTTCAGAATGAAATGTTGTTTAAAAATATGTTGTTTTCACATACTTAGGACTCTCAAGTGTTGTAGAAAAAGAAAATATATACATTTATATGTATATTTGCGACGTAATTACAAAATATTTACACCCGAACGCGTCAAATCCCATAGAACTCAATGGTAAATGACCCAATGTTTTGGTCACCACGTAGGGATCGCCGGTGCTTCAGAGCAGGGTACGGAGAAACTTGTTTAGGGCGACTCCATCTTACTTCCTACCTCCATGATTAGAGTGTTACTAACAAAATAATCAGTCATGCTGATTGCTGCAACCCGCTCAGAGATCGTACGTACATGTTCATACATCTTCTTCCATTTCCATACTTCATTATTCACCCACTACTAGGACTGGACATAATTTGACGTCATTCATTAAACTTTTTTCATTAAACTTGAAACAGCGGGCAAGAAGGCATATTTTTCGGTGCACTAAACTGAAAGTTTACTTTTGATCTCTCTTGGCAAAAATACACTGAAGACGTAGAAACTGAATTTGTTGCGAACGCTGTGCTGAGTCAATATATGGGATAATTTAAATGATAATTCCAGATTGGATTAAGCATAATTTAATTCCCAATAATAAAAGAAGACGTTACTTTGTTCTCGCAAAGCTTAGTTTCAACAAACAAATTGGAAACAATAGGATTGGCAACAAATCCACTATTCTGCTAAGTTTCAAATGTGAACAAATATGGTTGCTATAGTAAAATAAAAGACAGGCTTAGCCGCACTTATATAACTCTTAAATTATTGATAATTCTACAACTAAAGCATGCAGGTTAACTAAAGGCATAAAAACCTTAACCGGAAGATAAGAACAACATAATTCAATTATTTTTAAAGCAAAAAATGCACAGCTTCCAAACATATAAGATAAAAGAATAAAGACACTGAGCTAACTGTTTCTGTAGTAACTGAGTGGATATATATATATTTATATACTTTTGGTCCGGCGGATTGCAACCAAAATAAGAGGTGCATATGTAGAAGTCCTATATACAAAATTTCAACTTTCTGAGACTATTCGTTTTTGAGTTATGCGAGGTACGTACACATACGTACAGACGCCACGAAAAAAATCTCTTTCTGAATCAGTTTTATAATTCGTTTAATGAAATCAGTTTTATAATTCGTTTGGGGAAAAGTGTCCTTCAGTCTGTCCTTACGTACAGATGTCACGCAAAAACATCCTTAAATTGCATTCGATAGAAGTCAAAATGGATATTTTCTTTGAAATATGATAGCCGAAATTTTTCGCGGTTACAATACTTCCTTTTTACTTCGTACAAGGAAGTAAAAAGGGTTTGATATCCTTCCTTAAAGTTTATTGTAAATAAAAATGTTGTCTATTACGAAAAACCACTATTTTCATATTCAAAATGAATTTTTAAAATAAAATACTAAAATACTGTAAGTGAAGTGTTACAGAAGATGCTGAATTTCACAATCATATGCAACATATAACGCCTGTGCAGTGTAAAACAGTAAATTGTAAATTTTAACTTATTTTTATTAGTTTACAGTTTATGATTTTAAGAAGCAATTTTTATTTCCTCTCCAACAGAGGGACGATCATTTAAATGGTTTATTCTCTAACTTGTCTTGTGTTTAGAAAATGAGCAAAACAAACTCCATTTGTTGGATTACATTTCTTTGCTCATTTTATATTTCCTAAGCCAAAAACTTCCATTATGAAACATGATTTTTGGAAGAAGTTACTCTAAAATTTGTTTTCAGAAATACCTGAACCATTTTTTTTTTTTTTTTTTTTTTTTTTTTTTTTTTTTTTTAGAAATTAAATTTGCTTTTTATTCCTGTCCGTACAACTCAATAAAATGCAGATTTATCAAGAGTTAGAACAATCTGTATTTATTTTAAAGAAATGTGAAAGCAATTCCAGATGTCTTGTGAAGAAAACAAAATATTTAAAGACGCTTTTATTGATGTTGCATTTGAAATTCATTCATAGTTTCACGATTTTAATACTGAAGAGCAAGAAAAATAAAAGATTTATATTATTGAAATGAAAAAATTTCCTGTTTTCATGACTGAACTAATAATGATGCGCTTTATTTTATTTATTTATTTAGTTTGGAATTTCCCACCATTCTGGAGGGAGAAAATGCATTTTATTAAGATTGGATTGGATTATTATGCTAGGCGAGCGAGGACTGTCTGAAATGAAGAGGGATGTCTCCGTTAAGGACTTTTTAAGGGGAAACTGAATCTTACCATGCTACGCATCTAGAAAGCGACGAAAACTCTTATTCGGCGAGCACTTAACTTGCTTATTGAACAAGGGTTGAACTACCCATATTCAGTGATTTTAACACTCGGGCGACTAATGGGCAGCCATCCATATATTCAACATCGAATGTGAATATATGGATTTATACTTTTTGTCTAAATTACCATGTAAAAAGCATTCAGCAAAGAAAATTCATCCCTACTGTGTAAACAACATGAAACAGATTGCGTTTATTTGTGTCAAAAGAACAATTTTCTCGTATTGCTGAGGCAATAATTTATGTTCTGTTCTTAGCAAATGAGTTTAAGTTAAATATTCATTAACTTGGAAATCTTCAATTAATTGC